GTTTCAATAACCACGAGTGGGAATGTCCCCTCTTCCTTTATGCTGGAAGCCATAGAAGAAAAGTTTATTTTAATATATGGAAAATAAATCGCTGCTAATTTCAGTTCAGTGAGCAGGGCAGAGCTAACGGTGTACGGTATAAAGGAAATATAAATCAGCCTCTCCTGTTTTAATGTGCACATCTGGGTACATCTGTAAGGATCCCAGAGTCCAAGGCATCGTGCACAAGGAACATAGATACGGCTGCGCTCACAAGTTTTAAGACCCCTTGCTCCATATAGATTCTTGGTTTGATTTCAGCTTTCCTGAACGTCAAGTGGATGAAGGTATCAAGATGATTATACTGAAAAGTTTTTCAGTGTAAAAGAAACCAAGGAATTGGTGGTTTTCAGTAAGACCAGTATGAAAACTTGGTTGAAACTGGTTTTGCTGTAATGCTCTTTGGGGACCACCCCACGTCTTCATAGCCCTCGGCTGATTCCCTCCATCCCGCGCTGGGTCCTTGACTGCTGCTGCATGGCTGTAGTGCCTTTCTCTTCATAGATCTGCACTGAGATGAGTTTCCACTTTGCTGGGTCACTTTGTGGAGATTCAGTCAAACAGTCTGTATTATTTTTACTGGGGAAGTCTCATTTGATAGTGGCAGCGCTGCTCCGTTATGACAAAAAGACATAATTTTGTATTTTTGTCCTATGATGCCAATACGGTGCTGTCCTCTGGATAACATTAAATGTACACATACCCTACAGCAATTATTTGAGATCGTTTTTCCTTGGCTTGTGATTATCTCAAACAGCCAACATTTCTGTTGGCTGCCTGTTCACAAGGTGGCACGCTGCAAAACGGGCTACTTGGGCACCTGATGGAACGCCTTCTCCAGAGCACCTGCTCCTGCTGTGGCCCATCAGAGCTCAAAGCTGATTTTCAGATTCTGTCAAAGGCATCTCCGGTTGCTCAGATGTTTAGGCTTTAAGCACATTTCACCTGAAGAGTGGCGGGCAGGAGTTTTTTTTGCCTGTTCTGCTTTAAAACCTTGGTTTTCATTGTGGCTGTCTTCAGGAACGGAACTGTAACCACTGTAACAAATCTGTTTGTTTTTAAAAGTGTCCGTAATTGCCGCGTTGCGTCATCTCCATGGTTATTTTAAAAATTCTCTTTGTGACTTTACATTATTAATAAGGTGTCTACAGAATTGTCTAGAAAAAAAATACTTGTGTCGATCTTGATTGCGACTTTATCATTTCCTGCCATAATTGGACCGAGTACTCAGCTGGAGTAAACTGATGTCACTTTTACTCTCTTGTTTCTCTCCATGTTATTGGCACTATTGTCACCGGCTGTCACAATAAGATATCCGCAGTGTGTCAGTAGGGAAGCACCTCTCTTTTGAAGGACAAACTAGATAAAATGATGCAAGAAGTGGAGAGTATTTGCTGTGCGCTGGTTGGAAGCACCCTGTAACGAGCTGGGAACTCCAGGCTGTGATCACAAACACGAAGCATGGATGAATTTAAATGGTTGCTAACTAAAGCTCTACAACTAAATTAGCACTGGAAGACAGATTATATGTGAATTTGTTAAAAAGCAGATAGACACACATGGTACAGATTAGAACAGGAAAGTTTTGCTGGATGCTTTCCTCCTACAGACGTCAAAGTGTGTCTCCAAGGCTGGTATCCCCGTTGCCTTTTTAAAAATAGGACCAGAGAAGCACGGCAGAGGAGTGTGCCAGGGTCCCTCAGCCACCCAGTACAGGGCCATCAAGAAAGCTTAGGCCTCCTCAATCACCTTGGAGCATCAACAGGAGGATTTAAGTAATGAATTAATGACTTAATGAATGTAAGTTATGAGTAACACTCATAAAACAGATTACCCAGTAAAGGTGAAAGTAAGGAAAACTGGTTTTGAAGAGGTTTTGCTTGGTGGGCCATCAAAATCATGGGTCGGGAAATAGTTCTCAAGAATCCATGGTGTCCAAGGGAACTTAGTTGTATGGACTAATGCACATCCTTATTAGCACCAGAGTTACTTAAGCACATCCTCCCAGATTGCTATTAGAGGTTGCTCGCTGCAGGTGACCAGCAGAGCCCTGTCACTGTCACTCTGAGGTCATGTGCTGATCACAACACCATGGAGCAGTGTCCCTCCCAAGGCAAGGGAGCCAAGCTCCCTCATGGAGAAGGCAGAATGAGGTCCTGCGTGGGCCACTGACTTCATTGCCAGTGGCAAGATCAAGGTGCCCCACGTACTTCCGAGGGAATAACTCTACAGATGCAGTTGGCCAAGAGATAGAACCAGTCTTTGAACACTACAAAAGGTACCAATGTACGAGTTGCTGTTTGAATAGTGTTTTGTGACACACAACCTGTCAAAGGGCTGAGAATCTCGAGCTGTTGCTGCTAATTAAAAAGCTACAAGGGTACAGAATCTTTGCCCTAACCTTAACCTGGGTTGTCCTTGTGCACAGTAACCTTAAATACATCCTATAGGGTATATGGTCCTTGACGTCACACGTCTCTCTTGCCTTCCTGTCTAGGGTAAGGCACGCAGGCCTGATCTCCTCTTTGCGGCTACCAAATTTGGCTTACGGCTTTATGGCACGTATAGGTTTTACCCTTTTCTAACCAGAGCAAAGTATTGTCACCCAGAGCCCGTTCTGACACAAAGATCTTAGAGAAAGAAATGTAGGGAAGAGATGAGCTTTCCTTATAGCTGTAGAAAGATGAGCTGCGCCAGGTATTCGAGGTTTCTAGATGTGCTGATAGGGAAGAAGTGGAAGAACAAGGAGACACCCTGCGCAGGAGTGGTTTTGTTAGAATATTTCATGGTGTTTGAGGGCCTGAGTATTTTTATCCCAGAGGCACCACGCACGTCTCGTGTGCCAGTAAAACTCACCACCGCAGATTTCAAACCGGTGTGATTTTTTTAGCAAAGTTTATTTTCAAGTGTAAACGTATAACCTGTTTAAGTTTGAAGGGTTTGGTTATTCTCTAAATGAGTTTTATAATTTGGATGCCATTCAACACTTGACTGTATTCCGAAACCAACGATGAATCTGCCCTATCCATCTTAGCCTCGTAATGGATAGATAGAACATATTAAGAGTTATCACCTCAAAGACGGATCAAAGTCTACTTCCTTCAATATTGACTTTCTTTAAAAGGACCTAAATATAACCCGCTAGCTAAATAATTCAATTTTGGGAAAGGGGGGGGGGGGAGGAACTGAGTGTGTGTTTATCCAACAGACCACAATAACTCTGCAGTTTTATGATTTGTTGGAGAAGAAGAAATCCTTCTCACATTTTCTGTTTAAGGAAATGTTACTCTGAGGCTAAATGAGCCCAAACCTGTCAGCCATCCAAATGGACTCTTCACTGACATAAGTGGCAAACACTCGCATGGATCACTGACAGGAACAGCTCAGCTCAAGGAACAGAAACAATGAGCTAATCTGAAGAAATGGTCCGTTTTCAGATGTTTCACAACGTCGTGCAGGGTGGTTTTCACATTCCCTACTTGACTCACTGTGTTTGATTATCAAAGGTGTTGAAAGACCGGTAACTCACACGGGGCTTTCAAATTTTGTCCTCTGGTTGTCTTCCTGTTCTTTCCTTAAATATCTCAAAGTTTTGGGCAATAGGCATTTTGGCATGCACGGGCGTGACCAGACAGAGGTTCGGGGGGTGCCAGGTGTGCCCGGGAGCTGTGGAGCAGAGTGGGCACCGCTGGAGCTCGGCGTTCCCTGAGAATGCAAGGAATGAGGTAGTGGGGCCGTATCCTGCTCTGTGTCCACATGTAACCACACGGCGCCTGGAGCCCGGCCAGGCCAGAGGGTTTCCCAACCAGCCAGAAGCCAGGCTCAGCTGCCCTGCAACTGCTCGGGGCTCTGCTGCCTTCTGTCCTCGCTCCCTTCTCCCTCTCACCCTGGACATCCACCTTTTCTGTGGCACCAAGCATCCTCCGACCGGATTTCTGCATCTACCTTTCAGGTGGGGAAGAGGCAGAGAGACCTCAAGGCTGGAAACCACACATCCCAACTTCCACTCCCGCATGCAGAACGCCATTCTGGGAGTGATTAGCTTTCAGTGATGGCTCTAAAAATGGATGTACCTGTATTTGGGAAAGAACTTTTCCTCCCTCTTTGCACTTTAAGTGCTATGGAGTCACCAAACACTGAGTAAGCTCCAGTGCTGCGTGTTCGGCAGGACAAGGGTATGAGAATTTTGATCTCAGCTCTGTTTCCTGAGGCATCTGTGCTTGTCGTTGTTATTAATGTTTTAGTTAAGAATTTTGCTATATTCTGTCTGGTTGCAATAACTGAAAAAAAAATGGAAACTGGAAACGGGATCTTCTGCCTGTGGATGGGAACAGGTTTTGTGAATGCCCCGAAATCTCAAACCAGAACACACCCATTCTTTCTGCTGGGAGAGAGGGCACTTGACATAGTTGCTATAGAATAACTATTTCAGGGGGTGGAAATCTCTTGTAATGAGACTGATCCCTGGACCTTCGTCCTGACAGGTAGAAACATCAGGCAAACAATCACTGCTGAGGCGCCTGCGCCCCAGAAACACAACTCTAACCCCACTCAGCACTTGATCACCGACCACTACCTTCAGCCAGAACCAACCACCTCCTTCACAACCTGAAATACCCGAATAAGGCTGCTGTCCCGCGCGCGCAGAGGGGACACATTTCAGAGGGGGGTTTGTGAGAGCAGGGCAGTGAAATTCTGCGGTGGAATTGCTTTCTGAACCACAGCAAGGGCAGGTGCCCTGCCAGGGGGAAGCAGAGATGTCCCTCACACCGGGTAAGGACAGCCACAGCCTCCAGGTGCCCACGCTCCAGGTGATGCTCCTGCCCTGGCTGGCCCACGAGCTGTGTGAGCAGGATGGTCCATCCCCAAAGCCAAGGGTGCCCCTTGACGTTCCCCGTGTGCCCCCCCTCCGGTGACATGCGGCCGGGAGCCGGCCAGGAGCCAGCAGAGAGGACACGTACCCACTTTCAGCTCCTTCCCGAAGACGGTCCTCTCTCCCAGGGCAGAGCAGTTCCAGCGCCCGTTGCGGAACTGGAACTGGCACTCGTTGATGCCCATCTGGGACCCTTCCCCGATGACGATGATGGCGTCGGGCCTGCTCTGGCAGATCGCCCGCTGCCGGGGGGCCAGACCCGGGATCTTGTTACAGATGATGCTGGCTCCCAGGGCCACCACAGAGGAAAAACCCCTGCAACGACAAGACACCGGGGGTGGCTCAGGAGGAGTGGGGGGACACACAGCACCCCCACCGCCTCCCCGCGCTGCGGGACCCGGCTTCGGCAGGTGCCCCTGGAAAGCACCCACCTTCCCCCCCCCCACCCCCGTCCCTTCCCTCTCTCCGCAGCCAGAGCCGAGATAAGCAGCACGTGGGCTCCTGCCAAAACGGGACCAAACTTCCTCATTCGTGAATTAAAGCTCATGCAGCGGCGTTGCGTGCCTGGGCCACGCACCGGCAAGGGGCTGGGAGGGTTTTCCCTCTTGAACAGTTAGAGGGAAGGAGGGAGGGAGAGAAGGGGGATAAACCCACGCTCTCTGCCCCCGGGGCTGCGCCGCCTCCTCCCGCAGCCCAGCGCACCTGGACGGGCCGGGGATGCTGCGGGGCCGGGGAGCCGCCGGCCGCCCCCTTCCCCTCTCGGTGCGGCGGCTCCTGGGGATGCAGCCCCCCCGGGGCGGGGGGGGGGTTTCCCCGAGCTGCGGGAGCCGGACCCCGCGCCGGGGAGGGAGAAGGGACGGCTGCCCCCGGGATGGGGGTCCCCCGGGTCCCCGCCCCCCGGGGTCGCCTCAAGACGTGGGGGCCCTACCTGGTTTTTAAGAAATAATCGTGATCGCTACCATCATCTTTTTTTTTTTTTT